ATCGACCGAATCAATGTCTAGAACTGGTAATTTCTTAGTTTATCCAGTGCAAACACTTTCAGGAATTCATTTGCCATTTACACAAAACTGTTAATATTATGATTGTTAACAAAAAGCATTTATCGTAATTAATTACAAGCATTGCAATCCCATAGAAAGCTCCCTTGTGTGCTTGACTATTTTTATTTTCATATATTCCATTGTTATGCACATCTGTAAAGATGGCTGTTTGTGGCAACATGCTAAGATGAAGGCACGCAAGTTTTGTGTTTGTTTACTTGCAACAAATGAACAGATAAACACTGATGAAACATGCATGATTTTATTTATTAAATATTAAATTTAATTATATTTACTGGATATTCATTATACTAGGATGTATCAAAAATATTTTCATTTTTAGATCTTTACTCCAAAGCTCATTTTATTTATACTAATAAGTACTATGACTTCACTATGTTATTATTATTGTTATGGGTATATTACAGTTCTTTCAGTAGCTGATACAAAATGTGGGATGCCAATCCTAAATTTGGGTGTTTTTGTCAAGACAGCATCTCTAGAAAAACTGCCACCAAAGACTAAAGACTTTTTTCAAGCCATGAAGTGAATTATCCTGCGCCAGACACCAACTTGGAATTTGAATTTCCGCAGACTATGTTAGAGATTCCAGTACCGGATTTATCCTCAGGGTTTAATCCTGAAGCCTGAAGTGTAAGCGTTCTCAAAGCAAATTTGTGGCTTTCACAACACAACGAAAGAAAATCACTTGTAACACGTCAGGAAAATAACTCACGAACGCTGTAGCCAAAACTGCCCGAATTTTCCTCCCGAGTCGACAACACCAACTGCTTTTATCGGCAGAACCTATTTTTTCCATTCGTCGACAGCCGGGATAGGATGCTCCGTAATTTGCATATTAATATCCTTTTATAGCGACTCATGCGACGGACTTGTTTCTTTTTCGTCCCAGAATACACGCGACGCGCTGTCGCTTGGGTTGACGAGGTAAGTCGCTATAAGAGTTTTGCTGACTACTTTTTGGCAATCCCTCCCCGGCAGATTGCACACAAAACACGAACTTTTTTCCGGGGTACTTGATTATCTCATTCACTACAAAGCCTTTTTCATGATTGGGTGTGGCTGTAAGGCAGTGGAAGTTTAAAATCAGAGTTTTCCTTCTCTTAGATGAACTGTCCTCCTGAGTTGATGAATTTTGTCTACCCAAAGTGTATAAATACACAATTGCAGCTTGCCAGCTCCTGCCACTAAGCAGACAGGGAAAATTGCCTCAGCCTTTTTTCTATGGCATCCTTCTGGAGGTGTCTTCTCACGAAAGTTGACTTGTTCAGACACCATGGCTCGGGACTTAGAGTTGGACATTGGTAATCTGGGGATGGCAATACAGGACTGAGCAGTATGGAAAGGGCTAGTTAATCACAGGGAGGTCGAAGGATGATGATGATGATGGGCACATGGCTGAGTGGTTAGAACATTTGTTTTCCAAACATATGACACATGTTTGAATTTCACCATGGTTGATTTGTAAGGAAGGTGACATCTTTATGTTATCAGGCTTGGGGAGGTGATCACAGTGTGTGGCACCTTTGAGAAAGTGCCTGAAAAGCATACCACAAGCCCTGTGAGTGAAATTGGGCAGATGGAACTATTTGACAGCTAGCATGCACAAAGTCACAAGTCATTGGGACCAAGGGTTTGAACATGCTGGCCTTTTTCTCTTTGCTGTCGATCATGCCAGATAATGTGTTCTTTCCCAGAAACTCTAGTTGCAGCATAAACCACAGGTGGGCTCTGTGAGGGTTGAACAAACACAAATGTGCCTGAGTAGATGTCTACAATAGGGATTGGCTAGTTGCCCTAGTAGACAGGCATCCTTGAATACATATGGCCAGCCATAAGATTATTATTACTAGTACTCCAAAAGATTTTTCAGACACCGTATAATTTTATCATTATTATTATTAGTAGTATTATTATTATTATTATTTTATTAAAATTTTGCTTGTTCTTCCCTTTATTAGCACAACCATTATGCCCTGCCAATGCCTCATATATAATTCTAGACTATTCTGTTTTGACTGTGTGGCAAAATGGAAAGCTCAAAGAGGAATAGGGCAGTGTCAAGATCTTGCTTGATCACCTTGAAATATGAAGAGTATGGTTGGGAGGTTATTGGAGACTTCAAAATAGTGACCTTTCTGATGGATCTCCAAGGCAGCTTTACCAAGTTACCATGTTATCTTTGACTTTGGGACAGCAGGGATACTGCAGCACACTACCACAAACAGGACCGGCCAGAGTGGGCTAAGTTCAGTGTGGGGAGGACCAATGTCAAATGGAGGACACTGTTGGACCTCCAGAAAGTATTGTTTCCTCCACTGCACTTAAAATTAGGGCTTATAAAATAATTTGTACCTGGCATGGCATGTGCAATTAGAACAGTCTACTCCCATGGACTAAATAAAGGGTTTTGTTCAAAATATATGGCCTGAAGATAGAGCATACAACAGCCAAAAGGTTGTGAATATGACAATATAATTGAGAACAACAATGTTTATTCATCACAACTCTGGATAAGCTAGTGTCTTTGTCAGACCACAAATAAAGCTCATAGAATGCAATGAATTCCTGAAGAAACTCACTAGCATGGAGAAAGCAGCATGGGACAGCTTTGCCATAGTGGTTTCAGGATTCCTGGGGAGTGACAAGGCCAATAACTATATGGATCTTGTTGATACTCTGGTGAAGAACAACAGCAAAATGGGCTGCAAGATATCTCTCAGCATTCATATCATTGACACTCATCTTGATAAATTCAAAGAGAACATCAAAACATACACAGAAGAGCAAAAAACCAAAAAACAGGAGCCAAGCAACATTGTCATTATGATTCATTTTCACAATGTAAATATCAGATGTTTGAGAAATCAAGAATTCAATATCTATGGATATTTGTAAGAGGAATTCAGAATTCCTTTGAACATTATAGGAAATCTGGCTATAAATAACTAATTTAAAAATATTCATGAAAAATATGGAAATCAATAAAAATGAACTTGATTTTCTTTTATACAAACTCCCATAAATTATCTAAGAAAAATATATGTTAACCAGTGTAATAAAACAGGACCGCAGCTAATAATAATAATAGTGTTAAGTCATTTTGAAGTTTCTTAGATTAAATATTTCCAATATTCCATCTATACCAACCAAATATATATAAACATATTCGAACAGCCTGCCATTGTTCCATAATGATGAAAGGGAGATAACCCAATTACAATTCAAGGGACATAATTCTAGTAGAGCAAACTATTACGAAAATTACAAAAACAAAAGAATCCTCTTGGCATATCATATAGTAAGGTTAATAGTTTTACTCCATTTTAGTAGTACTATTTTTGTTTTAGTGTATTTTGCTTGATTCGAAGCTAGGAATCAGTTATAAAAAACAAGAAAAATGAAATGAATAAAACTAATAATAAAATCATAATAACGAACGTCTTTAATCTAAAAATGTAACATGAAAGTGGTTTGTTTTGACATCCTGGCCGAATATTAAGATTTACTGGACTTTGAACACCCTAACAAGGATTATATAACAAAACATGATGTGTGATTATATTTGATGAGGTAATTCATGAAAGTAATTTACAGTATAAATAAATACTGAAAAATTACTCACTTCTAAATTTTTGAAGTCTCCCTTGTGTAATATCTAGAATAAATAAATATTACATTTGATTTTGAATGATATGTTGTTTTGTCCTATTTTGCATGAATGTGAAGGTTCACATTAAGCTGTTTTCTCAATGAGTAAATTTAAAAAATATCATTATCATCGCAAAAGCAAAGTTTAAAGGAAATATTAGCCATATTTAATGGACTTGTACAAGCTGTTGTGCTTTGTAATGTGTCCAAATTATGCCATTTTTCTCCATTTGACAGTGGCCATATTTAATACTTTCATAAGCCAATAGGAAGATTTTGATACCATTCAATGGTCAGATATTTAAGTCGCCACATAAAAACTTCCACTATCAACAATTACTACTATCTTATTCTGTAATTTCCTTTTCTTTTCTTTCTTCTCCCTCTTCTTCATCCCTCTCTATGTCCTCTTAAGGTGTATCTCCCTATAGTTTTTAAAGAAGTGACATTCCATTGGTGGCTTGTTTTTGAATAGAATTGTCCAGAACCATTTTTGATTGTCAACAGTCAAGATGCACATAATTCATCAAAACAAGAATGCATCTTTGTTGTGAGTAATTGTCTTTGTCTACATGTAAAAATCTATAATAAATAATTTTTATTCTACCCTTGGTATTGAGCCCTCTTTGAATTAATGTTGTGAACATTAGAATTTATATTATTTTCATTTAGACATATATATATATATATATATATATATATATATGTGTGTGTGTGTGTGTGTGTGTGTGTGTGTGTGTGTGTGTGTGTGTGTGCATACATGCATACATATATATATATATATATATATATATATATATATATATATATATATGTTCTTCATTTTATTTTACCATCTTGTTGGATTCCTATTCATATCTGATCTACATCTGAGTTTCAACTCATATATATATATGAGCTGAAACACAAATGTAGATCAGATATGAATAGGAATATATATATAGGAATACATTAAGAAATGGACAAATTCTGACAATTTATTAAAGACATTTTTATGTTTAACATTCTTTTTATAAATACAAGTATTTAAGTAAATGCTCTGTTTATAATAAACAGTATTAAATAACATTTACCAGCCTGAATGTCTGAGAAATTTTCATAGAAAATATTCGTCCTTTGACAGAATTTGAACCTGCATCCATGAATCTCGTACATTCATAACTGCTCATGGCGTATCAAATGTAAACAAATGACATGGAAGATTGAAGTTTATAAGCAGTAAATTCGACCTTGCCAACCGAACGATCCTTTGTGGCTGAGAGGTTACG